GATCTGCAAGAATAATTGTTTCATGTAGCTGTTAAGTAGTAGATGACAGGTCTTTGAACATCATTGAATTAACAATTTACTTCCCATCTTGTGCATTTCTTTTTTTGTGCCTTACGGCTCTGTCCCTATTTTCAGTTAATGCTTTGAAAGATTTGTTACATGAAGAGGAGAGTGAAGAGGACGACTGAAGGCAGTTTTGTGCATGGCCTTGCAATGTAGACATTTCAACATGTTTCGTAAAATAGCCCCAGTTTCAATAGGAGTATCAGCTGAGAGAGCCTACAGTCTTGTGACAACCGTGATTTAGCAGAATATAGACATGGGTGAAAGTTTGCAGGATTTTGTCTGATTGTGGGATTTTCCGTCCACCATTTGATTGTTTTTTTTTGCATATGGTCTAAATATGATGAGAAATTGCAAGCTACATTTTCAGGAATTTTGGTTTTTACAACTTTCACCCATGGGTACGGAAGAGAGGTTGAGTCTGCATTACATAACATCCGACGTAGGTGATTTCTATTGCATTAGTTCAGAATGAACCAGTCTTCCATGCAAGCAGTAGGACAACTAATCTGTAAGTCTCCTTCCTTCCTCTAAGTTTTAGGGTTTAGTTCAGATGAACTAATTATAAAGTGAATGTATTAAAATAGAAAGAAACAAAGACATTAAGTTTGTGCTTGAATTTGGTCCGTGGTGGGTCACCCTTGATTTCAAATAAAACCATGTGAATTGAATTCTTCAGAAAGAACATAACAGTACAAATAACAGTACATGTATTACGACATATCAGTAAAGGGGATGATCAGGTATTGATTTGTAGGGGTGCAAAGCGCCCCACGTCAAATCGAAACTCGATGCTATTACTAATGTGGAATCTGTGGCACATACAAGGTTTTATGTGTAACAAACTATCCATCAACTGTTGCAGGACAACCAAACGTAGTGCTGCTAGAAGAGACGTCGTCCTCCCAGTACCTTATTAAAGGGTACGCCCCAAGTGTTGATGGGAGATTTTGTTCAGTTGATGTGCATCGTCAAATGACATTGTAATGTCATTGTGAAAGATCTGCATTAAATATCCATGATGATTTTATTATCAATATGTGTTTTTGTCCATCATATTTAATGGATTAACACATTAGTAAACTTATTTTATTAGATATATGTATACAATGTGTGAGGAGCAGTGCAATGTAAAGGTCTCAAGTTCAGCTACTATAGTGTACTAGAGGTATCTTTAATTGCCGATATGATAGGTTATCAACAGCTCAGCCCTTCGACTATTCTCATTTCATTAATATCCACACTGACCTCTGTTCTCCATTTATAATTTGAAATAACTTATAAAATTGCACACTTAGACCTTACAGTTTTTGAATACAACTCTGCTAAAAGGTGAAAAAAAAAGCACATCAAGAAATATCTTTAAGATCATCTTTATTCCACTGTATTATTGGTGAGCAGATAGGTTGTGTATAAATATTACAGTGTAACTGTGGAATGTATTTTAAAAATTGATGTCAGACCTCTGAAAGTAGCGTGCATGTCCGTTATACATGTGTACATGTACATTGATTCGTTTGAACGACCTGATTAACATTTAAACTTGCTAACGGTATTTTTGGCTTGCCCTTACAACTAATCTAATGGGCCTTCAGTTTTCTTTTCTTTTATTTTTACTATATGACCTAATGAAAAGACCATGTTTCCATACTTCTTTGGTATGGCCAAATGTCAAAAACGGGTCATTTTTATATCCAAGCCTTTTTAAGCAACTTACCCTTAGTTTCAGATAGTTCTGAACATTGATTCACCACATTTGGTATCATCTCCAGAAGTTCACTACTTCGTTCTATTCACAAATTGCGAAAGTATGTTTACTTTTTCTCAAAACCAATTTGTCTTCATAACTTCCTGTAGTACCTCACCATAATTCTTTATTCAGAAAATACTAAAAATTTAACTAACATGCCAAGCATGAAATCTGACACTATATGGCATTGTTTTAAAGTGAGCAATAAATCTAATTGTAGCAATAATGGTTACCCTGGTGACAAGCTGTTAAATCAAAGAAAAAAGGGTGAAAATCTTAACTCAAATGTGATTACAATTCAACTGACAGGAATACATTTTAATTAAAATTAACAGAAGGACATTTTCATAGCTACACTGAAATCATGTTACATATAATATAAAATAGTTCTAGTTTCAAATAATTTCAGCTAAGCTTTATAAATTAATAGAAAATTGGGACAACGGCAGCTGTAAAACTTTACTGATGTCACATGTATCTTTTGTGTAAATAATTTCTCAAGGCTAAAGAGAAGGTAAATAAATATCACGTGAAATCATCTTCAAATATTTCTCTTAAAATTATTTTTTCTCCAAAAACATTTGCTTAACAATAACTGCTTGTTTTAACAATTTAACAACATGCATCACGTGACAGCAATAAACAGCACAGGGCGATATTTTGCTAAATAATCATCTTCTATGCATATATATTTTGCATAAAGCAGCTGAAATAGCAAACTGCAACACCACTTCTAAACTCTATTTCTAAACTTCTCTGCTAATAATTATCTACATTTAACACATTTCTTTGGATTCTTATCCATGGACTTGGTGAAAAATCATTTGTAAAGTAAAATATGTGTGTTACAAGTTAAACATTGTAATACCTCACAAAAACCATCCCAGCTGGTTTCTGAAATCGTTCTGATAATAATAATAAAGCTGTTTGCTTAAGAAGATATTTTACTTGAAACCTAGAAAACAAGTTCTGATAATATAAAACAATTATATTTCAAATAACCTACAAACATCAGCACAAAAAGTGGTTAAAGTATATGTATTTTGAGTGGAAAAAAAGAAAACTAAAAACCAATTTTCAGGTACAGGGATCAACTGCAGATATGACTTTGTCAATCTTTTATCACATGTCACTATTCCCACTGATGTCACTCCAGAATACACACTGATACTTTCAAGCATGCAGAAAAGTTCTATCAGTCATTAAAACCTCTGCTAAACAGAACCAGGCCTTCTTAACTTTTTGGGAAGTTTTTCACTGCTCCATAAAACAAACATAATTTTTGTGGCACGTGCAATGACTCGCCACGGTTGAGTCAACAAGCGCCGAGTGCTACAATGATGGCTTGTGTTATCGGGAAAAACTGACTCATTAATTTGACAAGAGTTCAGCTTAAGTACAAAAATCTAGAACTTTATATGTAATAACAAGTTGCCAGGCAAATTTCACTTCTTCAATTCTTTAAAAAAATTTTTTATATTACAATCATCAAGAAGGCGACTGATCAACTGACTTCTGTCTTGGCGCAGGCCTAGGGCGAACACTACCATGTCCCTGCACACTCCTAGGGGGCGTTGATGGTGGTGGTGCTATGGAACCCTGGGAAGTCGTGGTGTCAGATGGGGACGGTGCACCTCTGTCATCCCCCGACTCTGCAGGTGGCGCTGCAGTCTTCACTGCTGGCGGCGACCTCAGCGAACTGGCTGGTTTGGGAGGTAGAGGTGGGACCGTTGACCCCTGACCTTCTGGCGATGTTTTAGGATTGGTCAACGTGGGGTGCAATTTAGGGTGCTCGTACCTGGGGAAGGTACTCTCTCCCCCTTCTTTGTGTGGGGTATGGTGTCCATCCCTGGGGGGTAAGGCAGGGGGTGGGGGAGTGACCTGCCTGGTTTTAGTCCTGGGACTGTCCCTGGGGGGTAGAGCAGGTGCCCCTGTATCTATAGACGGTTGGGATTTACTCCTCAGGGATATCGGGGGAGGCCTGCTGCCTGGGGTCTTAGGGGAAGACGAGTCCTGGAAGAATAACGTGAAATATCATCAATAGACAACTGGTATAATCTTACAAAGAAAATGGGTAGCAACAAGTAAACAGCATACACTTCAGTATGTGGATTTTTAAAAGCAGACATGCTCATGTCACTGAGGTATCACTTAATACACTCTCATTGTCAAAGTAATCTTCATATCAATGCTGTACTCTTCAATGACATCATCTAATTTCTTCACTCTGGTCTTACCTCACTATTACTTTACAATCAATCTCTTAAAATTTTTGGACAAGACGTTTGATGCAAGCAATGAAATATTGACAGAAAAGTACATCTATTTTCTTCTGCTAAAGTTATAATGTTAGCAGATAAGAAAATGCAATGCTGCTAATGTTGTGGGAGATGAGTGGTGCAGACAACTCACTGGTGTTTTGTGAACTTTGGCTGGAATGGCAGGACAAACCATATCCCCATCCCCTGAGGAGCTGGAGTCCATTTTCCTGCTGCTACTTCCGCTATCTTTAAAGACAAGAGAAAAGGAACATGTTGTTTATTATTTTCGTAATATGATACTCACGTGCATAAGTTTGGGAAACCTCATTAAGTCAAATTAATAACATATTGTTTTTATGATAAATATCATCTTTGAATTCTATCCAAACAATAACACTCAGTAACAATGCTGTATAAAATCATGCATAACTGAGGTGTGAAAACTTAAATACTGTGCAAAAGTATGGAACTTATAATTCTCATTTCTTTAAATCTTATTTCTACCCATGGTACCTATACTTGGTGACTGGTGCCTCTTGGGAATAGGTGGCGCCACATCAATGCCACTCTCAGTGCTGGAGATAGATGGCGTTGAGGATGAAGAGGTGCTGCCAGTCTTCTGATGCACTGTGCCTGCTCTTCTGTGTGGAGGTCCATTAACTGAGGGCTGTGACGCGGGCGATATGGCGGGTTCGCTGGAGTGTCTGAGTGCAGGACGTGGCTGAGAAAATGAAAACATCATGCAGCAAGTAATCATAAATGTACATGTACGTAATCAAATATATTGAGGGATCTCTATGATATACTCAGCAAATATCAAAAACTTTTCTGAATAATCAATTTTTAGTTGCTTGATCAATCTAACAAAAAAAAAATTATTATGGTCTTCAGTAAAATCAAAACATTCTGCATCATAAACTACCAGGTCCGTAGCAATACCATTTCCAATCAAAGTGAAAATACATAAAATATCTTCAATGTTATGAAGACAAACCCTACAAGTTATAACTATGTATCTGCCCTCTAGAATCTTAGCTATTAGATATAGAAATATCACAACTAGAAAGAAAAGAAGCAGGAATATTAAGGAAAGTGTGCATAAACTGGAGACAGCGAGTGACAATGAAAACAGGTTTTAGAAGTTTCATTTCTAAGGGCATGCCAGATGTAAGATCTTTAATTTCTTTCTTTTTCTCCGACACCATATGCTTCAAACATGCACAGTTAGTCATAATATTCTGTTAATTAACTTACAAACCTTGGGTTCAAATTTCTCCTGTATATTCATAGACTGTGGTCTCTGTGCTAGCCAGGAGTTGGCGGGTCTACGTGTCCCCGTGCTGTGTCTCTCTATCACGGGAGACATACTACGTTTGCTAGCCACTACACTCTGCCTAGCTGACTACACAGGGGAGAAAGAAAAGAAAGAAAGAAAGCACCTGTATTGTTATTAGCAGTAAAGCAATGATCTATATTAGTACCAGGCTGGTTTTGTTCAATCTAGGATTATGCTGGGAGAAAATGATGCTAAATTTGTGCTATCATACAAGGTTAATTTAGGGGTAATTGGATCACAATTGACCATCCATCTTAGACTCCATTCCAATAAACACCATTGAACGAAGAAGATCCATCCAAGTTGTAGGAGTGCTTGGTAAGTACAATCAGCATAACTGTCTGACATGTCTCCTCTTGCTTCCAATGAACTTGTTAAATCACCACCTTTGCTACATATATTCTACTTAATGCCAAGAAGAGACGTGTCATTCAGCAGGTACCCTGCAGGGCTGGGTTGATCCACATAGACCAATGATGAAAATGTTAGATTGTTCTTGGTCTCAAAACCAAAGCTCTTACACTGTTAAGAGATGCATAATGAACAGGCCGTGATTGTTACATCTAAAATTTGAGCAGCACAAAATTAGTCAAGACAGAATCGCACAGCTCTTTTAAAATTTTCAGCTATCCATCTCCAAGCTGACTGAGAGCAAGAAGCTTCCCAAAATGTCATTACTGTTATTAAAAAAGCCCAATACAGTGTAATTGTCAGACTTTCAAAAAATCATGTTCCTCTGACTAAATGATTCAAGCACCTGTTCTTTTTCAGATAAATTCACCAAAAAAAAATCCCTATATTTGGACACAGGGCTGTCCCCTATGAAAACCAACATATAATTCCCATCACCCTGGAACTCAAAGGGTAGTGGAAAACATATGCTGAATAGAGCACCCCCTGACAGTTTACTGTATCACAGGGTGTCATGTGCCCAATGATCACAGATGAGGGAAATTTAAATACAACAATAAGGTTCAGTAATACAGCTACACGAGGTCAATATATGAAATGGGAAATGTGCTGAAGTGAAGGTGAAGTTAGTTGACTGTTAATTTCAAGTAATCCAAGTGATAAGAAATAGAGAACTCTAAAACAGGTGCTCAAATTAATTTCTGACTGTTAATTTCAAGTAATCCAAGTGATAAGAAATAGAGAACTCTAAAACAGGTGCTCAAATCTTTGACTTGTTAACTCTTAAGTTGATCACAGTTAATGGCAGTTAGAGTAGCAAGCAAGTCCCTCTACCTCTAATGCTGGCGCTGAATTTTCATTTGGCAGAAACCACTCCCAGGGTAAATAAACCAAGGGGAATGTGTTTATAACCTTGCACATACCTCTTTAGGAGAAGCATACAAATCCTCCTCTTCCTCAGGAATATCACCATAGACACCAGAGGAACGATTGCTACTAGGAGGCGTTGGTGTCAATGACGAGCTGAAATAAAATTGTGGACTACATCACAAGTGCTGTGATCGGATCTGTAATGAAGTCTAGAGCCCTGAGAAGATTGTGTATCATTCTATTTTTGAAACTAATAATATCTATGTAAGAAAAAATTTGCAAAACATATTCAATAGGACTGCTCAGACTGTTCAACTGACCTTGACCTTGGTGAGCCCCCGGAGTCTAAGCTGGTTGGTTGGAGTATTTGACCTGGGAGGTCAGGTAGAGGATCCGACTTCTTCCTCACAGTGGCGTGTCTTGTCATCATTGGGGAACCCTAAATAGTGGGGGAATTGCCCACGAGGCATTTAACATCAGATTCATTTATTCAAGAAAGTAATCTGACTTACACTCGAAAATTATTGTGCATTACTGTCTTCTGTATTTTCAGATTGAATAGATTTGTACATTTAGAAGCATTTAGTTATAAATCAGTTTGTTTTCATTAAGAAATTTACCCAAATGTCCATTAGTGCACACTTACAGTGGATCTGAATGATTCCTTCATTGTTGCAAACAGTTCTACCAGACGGTTGTGTAATGGCTGCACCTGTTCTGGTGCCAAGCGGCCATGAATGCCTAGAGCATCTTCCAGCAAGGTCACCTGAAACAGCAGACAACAATTGTTTTGTGTGCCAGTTGAAGAACCATGACAAAATCTAATCCTATCTATATTGAGGTAATGACTGAACTTTCTCAGATACCAAACACATTCAACATGGGTACCATAAAATGTCACGTTCCATCACGCAGAGTTTGCGTTTCCATATTAATTGTCACACTGACAATAGTTTAATTTCACTGGGCCACTATTATAGTAGCAAATCTTCTCATACAATAAAAGCATGTAACTGTGTAACTAAATGCTTTATTTCTTGATATAATGTCATTTTGTAAGAAAATTCACAACACAATCTTTTAACTGGAAATCACAATCTAAAGAGACTGCAAATACTTTTTTACAATATGGACATTAAATAAGTGCTTTTCAGGGGTGGATTAAGACCGTCTTCTTGGTCTTCTGGGAGATGGACAGATTTTAAAGTTTACACTGACAGGTATCTATTTTTTTTTTCTGTTGGAAGACGATCAAAAAAGACGGATGGATCAACAAAGATAATTTCGAAGACTGTCAGAATATATCTCTGGCTCCACCGTTGCTTCTATTCATTCAGACTTCAAGGTGAAAAGATGTCCTACCTGTTGTTGGAACAGTCCTTTTAGCACCGGGATATGGTGAAGGCTTTCTGGGTTCTGTATTGCAAATTCAGCTGAGAAAAAGGCCTGGGGGGAAGAAAAAGTTGGCAATGACTTAAAAATATAATGTATTATTGAAATAGTATATCTTCATCAATACTGAAATGGTATTCTGGTATTCAATCCGTTAAATGTAGGCAAATTGAAATTTTAAACATCTGTAAGAAATATAAACTGATAAAGTTGAGTAACTTTTTAAGCATATATGTAATGCATTATTCTCCGCTCCACAACCCGCAACATACATATTTCACTCCTTAGAAAATATGCTTTTTTTCTTTCCATTAGATACACCATCATAAACATACATACAGACTGACAACAAAAATGATATTATAACTAAACAACAAGTATCACTTTATGCAGTAGTATGTAAAAAAACATAAACTTCAGGGATGGATTGAGGCCGGTTCTGGATCTTCATAAAGATGGCCAGATTTTCAAGTTTACATTGACGGGTATCTGATTTTCTCTGTCAAAAGACAGTAAAATAAGGAGGATGGATCAACAAAGATAATTTGGGAAGTCTGTCAAAAAATATCTCTGGATCTGCCCCTGAACTTATGTGTATTCTAACAACATCACCTCTTGGTATTTAGCTGAGCCTCCATTGACAGCTGCGTCTATGACCCCATTCAGTCTCATGGTGAGTGGATTAAGACTCTGGGTGGTCTCATGGCCATACTGGCTGATAAGATTCCGCAACTCCTTGTTCATGTTCTCCATGGTGTCTATGGCGGTCTCGATAGGACTGAGCTCTATTGTCTTTATCTCCTGCACCTCAAACCAACGCAGAATTCCCGGCAGAGAGTGGCCTGTTTTTAAAGTTGTTTTTTCTAGGCACAGAGTCTGAAATAGAGGGTTTTATGTGAGAATTATTTTCATAAGCTAGCAAATTTGCATTCAATCATTCAAACATTCAAAGTTAGTTCTTGCTTTTTTTCTAAAAAAATGGTTCTTTAAAATAATTTCTTAAGAATCTTCCAGAATAATTTCAATAGCTACTGTTTTGGTAGTAAAACAGAATTTATTATATTTCTACGAGTTGTTTACAATATATTTATTGCGAAATATACATCTCATATGAAGAGTTGTTATCCCTTAAAATTTACTATAGATACTCCCATTACTTCAAAAGAAACTTTCCAAAATTTCAAATACCTTGAACTCATTATTCTTATCCTTGACTCCTTTATGGAATGGAACAAAGTACTGAAATGTCTTGATATCGTTGACTTTGTAGAAGTTTTTCACGGCTTGTGGCACAGACAGGCTACGGAACACCTCCAGGTCACACGGGATGGGCTTGATGTTACAGATCTGAATATCTGAGAAGACAAGAGTTAAGAAGAAAACACATCTACAATCATGCTGCACTTGCTGCATATATATCTTGTACAAATGTATATATTGCTCTTCTTATAACTCTATTTGTCTTCTATTCAACCAAGTAAATTCAGTTTAATGAATTGGCCAAAAGTGATGATTGCCTGATTTTTCATGGTTATAAAAATAATCTGGTGCAGCTTATATATTGCTCTAAACTTTTTATCTACCAGATTATTTTTCTATATATTTGACAATAAAACAGTTCTGCTTCATATCAGCAAGGATACACTGTCCGTCTCCATTACATATGCTGTCGTCTGGCGGTGTGTTACTGCTCATAATGGTGGCAGCAGGAAATTCACGCTGCAGACGATGGTTGAAAGCAGACAATTTCTCATACTCCTCTCCTCTGTAGACAAAAACTTTGTTCTGAAAGGAAGAATTTGTGAAACAATTTGCTTAACATTGCACCATATTGTTCCTCATTACATGTGAAATATCCAAACATCTAAATATGGATCTTTGATGAAATGAAATTTAAGTCACACAAACTAGTTTTATAAAATTTTATTTTTGAAAGATAGAGACATTGTTTTGAATCATATATCTGATTTTTATACTTAAAATGTTTGTATACAGCAGCCATGCCATAAACAGGTGCTTTCTGTCATGGAAAATGTATCTACTAAGACAATGAAAATTTCATTAAAAGAAAAAGAACATGTTTTTACCCTCAAGAACATAGGGAAAGCTCTGCCATAGAAGCCCACTTTGAAGTATTCACATTCTGCTCTCAACTCATGTAAGATTTTATCAAAAAATTGAGCCTGGGTTTTCTGAAAATTCAAGAAAAAGATCAAATAAGCATTTGGTGATGAAAGTTGAATTCCTTTAGAATCTCATACAATTTCCTTTTATCTTTCTCAAACTAAATTACTACAGCCAAAATTTTTCGTTAAAAGGTAAAATATTCTAAGATGAAATATTTAAGACAAAAATCTCATTTAAACCTTAGCAAAATATGCCAATCAGGTCAAAATGTGCAAACTCAAGTATCCAATTGAAGATCTGAAATGAAAACAGTGAGCCTACCAAAATGTTACTAAGATTTGCATAGTCGTAGGTTTTCTCATATAAATCAGCCAGTTCCTTGCAGAGTGGAATGCCATACTCCCATGCCTGGAAATAATTGGGACAGAAAATTTTTTCAGTCCTGTATCATCTAGCCTTTGTGAGAACAGTAAAATTTGAATACTTTTTTGTTTCTCAAAAACTAAAGAACATGAAAAACTTTTTTATCATGAGATGAAATCATGAAAATAGCCAGCTGTAAAAAAATTTAAAAAATATATAAATCACCATCCATTATTATTTTTTATAATTTAGATTCTATCAATATTAATATTTGTTGTTTGGGGAAGAGGTTTTTATCAAATCAACTAAATGTGCATCCTGTCTGTAAAAGATTAGTTTTCACTCCTCTCAAAACAGATGCACCCAGAGCTCTTTGCCTATTTGGGTTTCACATATAAAAGTAATGATGGAATACCACCTCGGCAAACAACTCACTTTCCCCTTATCAAAATAGTCTATGATCTGTTTATAAAGTCCCTCTTTCCTCCGCCACTCAAACTCAGCGTGAGGATGTTTGTGGTCTGCGTGAAGCATGGTGTCAGACCACTCGAGGAGGCTGGCGTGAAGTTGTAACGTAAAACCAGCCTCTGTGTAGTTCTCTGCAGCAAGGTGAAGGTCACACAGTTTGTAAATGTATCGCACATACATTTCTTCCCGCTGAATTTCATTATTGTAGAAGTTCTGCAGAATGAAAAATAGAAAGTTTAGTCAGAAATTAGCTTCTAATAAAAGTGTAAATGCAGACTACTTTAAAAATATATGTATAAAACAAGAAGAGGTGTCATCTTGGACAATCAATGATTAATTTTTTATTTTATTTAGTACAGTCTGCAGCACTTAAACAGTTTGAAATAAACTTCAAATATACCAATAGCAACTGCAGTGTTGTAATATGGGATATTCAATATAATACAATAACACCAAGTAATATAAATTTATATCTATCAAGTATGGTGATGACTGGATCTTTTCAATGGGGAAAATTGTGACTTTACAGATACTGCCTTTCTTTAAGTCATAAATTCTTAAAATGAGAACATTCTTATTGAGTGGTAACAACAAAATTTAAGGCAGGCTACCTTATAGTTCTATTCTACAAAGGAAAAGCACCACAAATGCTATACAGATGTGCATTTTTAATGATTCCAAAATTTATATATGAAAGAATAATATCTGTCCCCATTAAAAAGATATATCATCCTGTAGCCCCTTACCAGCAGGTTAAAAGTACAAGTCATCCTCTTGTCTCTGTTCTCATCTCCCATCATCACATTTCTGGAATGATCAAAGTTTTTTTTTCTGAATTTTGAAAACATATTCTAATTTCCATTCTAATTTGATTATATTTGCTCAAAAATTTTCAGGCTAATACAGTTCATAATAATGATACGTTCCTTCACTTAAGATTAGTTTGCATATCAACTCAAGTGAACAGAATACTGTCTTGGTTTATGCTGCCCCCTATTGTACTGTACCTGTAGTCCAGAAGCCTCTCCAGTAACCTGGTAACAGAGTTGATGAAAATGGTGCCATTCTCCTTCCAGGAGGTCTCAGAAGCTTGAACTTTGTCCAAAAGCCTGAAGTTGTACGGAAATTTGATAATTATATTATGGGTAATTAGTTACGACTTAAAAGCTGGCTGTTCTTCAAAATCAAGTGTTCCAAATAATCGTATTGCATGCAATAAATATTCGGTACTGTTAAACTTATGTGTGGTGTAAATTTTATAACTCATATTTGTATATTAGAGCCTTTGCATACATATCTTCAAATAAAAAATAAATTATCCTGTGAACTATCAACAGGTATGAATATTGTTTGCCGGTGCAAATTGTGCTTCTGAAATATTGCTGAAGAAATAATTAGACATTTGTTCACCTACACTCCTTAGAGCATGCAGTCAGTTTGATATTTTCAGCATTACAGTTATTCAGTTATTCAAAAGATATCTGGTTAATATATACAGAAAATCATACAGGTTATATATTGACAAAAATCAACTGTTTTAAAACTGGAAAGTATATGAGTTGTAATCAGTTGTGTAGGTGGCACTTGAACTTTCAGTATATTACAGTAAATAAACATATCACACACAAAACAAATTCAAAGAACACCAAGCTACACTATAACATCACCATGACAACACCAAGGGAAAACCATGGCAACACCATGACAACCTTACTCTAGGGTCCACATTGTTTACAAGCTATTCATTCACATAGAAAGAAAATAAATAATTCACATTACACTGTGTATACTATGTGCATTTCCTACTGTTCTATTATATGCATACTGACTAATCACAATAAAAGTATCATTCTCTTTTTTCAGAAATACACATTTTAACAAATACTGAAGTTACTGTATTTCCTACGAGAAATTCATAGTAACATTACCAAACACTGACCACTATACAACATGCCATCATTTTTCACATGTAAATATATAAAATAACCAGCAACAAAAATATCAAAACTAACTGAAATACAATTAAAGCACATAAAGATGTAATTATGAACCAACATCAAGGAAACAAATTCTAAATTAAATCCCTCAATGGTGAGTCACATGTCTCAGTAAACAAAGGATGTAAATGTACTGCTGGAAAGCAGTTTAACATAATTATTTGACATTATACAACTTACGCTGAACTTAAATATTCCCTGATTGCATTATAACAGTAAAATATATGTTCAGCAGAAGATAACACACTTATTCACGACAAAAAATAACAAAACAGAGCTGCAACTTTTCAGTAAAATTGTCATATTTCGAAAAAAAACTTCAGACTATTATCACAAATGTACTAATTGGCATATCATAGTCCTACTAGTACATGTACTTGTCTAACATATTATTGTGTAAGTATAGACAGGGTCATTCCTGGGTATTTTTCTCCTCCATAAAACCCCATCCAATATCCTATATAATAATTGCATCTGGTCTTATATCTTCTCAACACAATATGAAGGAAAAGAAATTATTAACAAGGAAGGCAAAAGATGTTTAAAGAGAAGAGAAATGCGCAGTTGAATGACATAATGAAAACCAGTGCACCATTTCTCTGCCTCCACTTACACAGCATTGAAGAGCTCCCTGTACTCATCATCTCCTTTGTTTTCACTGATCAGGATGTCAAGCTTGTCTATCAACTCACTCTCAACCTGGAAAAAAATCATAAAAATATTCATTTTTTTCTTTGAAGTGCCATACTTTGTTTTCTCTTTTTTGTTTTGAGTTATCTGTTTAAAGCTCTCTCTATGTTAAGTTACCTGAGTGCGTAAAGTTCCTCCTATGTTTCAAGTTACCAATTTAAAGCGCCCCTCCGAAAGTTTCAATTTACCTGTTTAAAGTTCCCCCTATGTCTCTGTTCACACTCCATCATGTCAAAGAAGATGGGGAGGGTGGCCTTCCTCAGCTCCGTCTCCGGCACCAACGTCACCTCCAGGAAAGGACCCACCATGCTGGGGATGAAGTGGATCTTGTGCTCTCCTGGTTGAAATAGAACAAATATGTGATCAGTTTTAGCAGTCTTCAAAGTTAGCCAATAGTCAAAGACAACCCACTTGTAGATTTGTCTTTGGACTACATGTACTAAAAATATTGGATTTTACTAAGTTACTGGTTTAATTAGACAAGTGGAAAATTTAACAGTAACTGATCCCATGATCTTGTGCTCTCCACGTTTAAATCAAAGAAATATGTGATCCATTTTAGGAGTCTTGCAAGTTAGCCAATAGTCAAAGTCAACTAGCTTGTAGATTTGTCTTTAGACTACTAAAAACATTGGATTTTATTAAGTTACTGGTTTAATTAGACAAGTGGAGAATTTAACAGTAACTGTTATATCCCATTGACTGGGGCAATATGGACTGAGGAGTGTAAGATACAGATTGTGAATATCTACAGAAATATATTAATCTTGCGTGTGTACTTACCTAGGTTCTGCCACATGGACAGTATGAGGAACCCCATCACCACCCTCATGTCTGTCTCTCCATACCTGAGGAAGAGAGGAGAAATAGAACATTACAATGATAAGATATCTGCACAAATGTTATTAAAGAAATAGTGACTGGGTTTAATGCTGAATGTAAAAACTTTTTTCATGTGGCATATATCACTGTGTGAAAATCTTAGAAATAACAGCAGTACAAATTACAGACAAGGTAAGTATTGCAGTTGAACAATATAGTACACAATACATCTTGATTATCAGTTGGCAATGAAAACAAAATGACCAACAATGCATCATACAGCTCTAACCTTTCCCGTATTTTAGCTCTCTTGGCCTCGGAGAACGTCTCCAACTGCAGACTGGGCTGCGTCAGGAAGGCGACGGCGAGTTTGAAACACTCCGTCCACAGCTGAAACATAAATAACATACAATGTGATCACATTCAAGTCTGTTTCACTAAATCATTTACGTAGATACTCTTTTTAGCTGTGGCATGGTTCAGGTTTGTTTTTTTTTTTTTTGTGTCTAGGCTTTTTGTGTTTTTAAAAATATATTTCAATTAAAAATGAAAAGAATAGGGAGATTGCTGTGTTTCGGTGCTTTGTCTCAAAAATTGACTTACCTTGAACATCTTACAGTTTATAAATTTGTCCACAAAGAATGCATCATAATAAGCCATGATTTGGCTGGTTATATTCTACTTCTAGCATTTTCAAGAAAAATATTAAGGGTTCAGAATAGAGCTATATGCACTAACTCCTTGTTTGTGAAAGACTTGTTTAATCACCAGTTTTTCTGTATTCTATTCAATTCCCAGTGGAGGCATGTTAGGCTGTAAACTTGATGACATTCAGCAAGAGTCCATTGTGATCTGATTCATTCTGAGTGTCAATTTAATCATATAATCTAAACAGTGGATTACCTGTGAGTCAAAGCTGTCCCCGTGAAGGAAATGGTCGTTTAGGGCCTGGGAGAAGAACTGGATGGCAGTCAGAATGACACTGAAAACAGTGGAAATAATCAATAATAAAAATTTGGAGGTATGAACTGAATGACAATATGAGAAAGTTTTTAATCCGAGCAATAGAGATATATACATCCAGAAAAACATATTGCTACATTAGATACAATTTCCATATCTTGTTTGTTTTTAATTATTGTCATAATGGGAAAGAAAACTGATTCTGGGTGAAACAGGGAAAATATTAGTAAAGACGTTTACTGACCTATATTTCTTCTCATTCCATTGAAGTATCATGAATATAATATAACATTTATAATGAACTAAAATTCCTGCTCTTTCCACTCACTTGTTGGTGACCATCCTCATCACGATCCAGTCAGATGGGAAGACATCTTTACCCACTAGTTCTTGGAACACCGTTAGTACTTTCAGGAGGAATCCCTGTACATTAGACAAGATAAATAAGTAGTAAGCATTTCATTAAATGTGTACCTCACTAATGTAACCCAGAGACCGACTTTTTTTTCTGGAATTACCCATCATCTATCAATGCATCAAGACACTGCTCTTGTCTATGACATTAAATAACATTTTTAAATAAGTTTCATACTACACATGTCTGTCTTACCTTGAGTCTGGGGCCATCCACGTAGGCATCTAATACTGATTTATAGTGCGTCTCGTCCATAAGCTTCAGCATGCCTATCAGACAGGCGACCAGTTGACCCTGGAATAGACAGGAACTATCTTCTTAATTATTTCTTGGAGAACAAAAACAAAATTTGCAAAGATTTAAGGCTAATTTCAACTTTACATCTACAAATACTGTTTCACTTGTGTTGCAGAGTAAAGATGAAGTTCTGAAGTCTTATATGGTATGAGGTGGAATCCAATGGTTGCCTTAGATATAACCAGTACAAGTAAAATAACATAAAAACTTTTTGTCAATCAAAATATTTTCAAAAATTAGCAAAATTGCACTATTCAAATATAATATTTAAAATGAGATGAAATGATTTTTGAACAGGTAACTTGTTTATTTCTAGATAATACATGGAGGAAGGCAATCTTTGCCATTACATTCACTTTTAACTTCAAATTAATCAACCGAAGAAACAAACTTATGGAAAAATTCACTAATACAACAAGGAGATGAAGGTCAAGTTTACAGCAGGCAAAAATTATCTTGGTGGCAAAAATCAGCTGTAAAATCAATCAGCATCTTTTTATCATTCAAAGTCCATTTGTTTTGTATTCATTTGTTTAAAGCAAACAGGAAACATGTAGTCCAATTTAGAAGTGGGCCTTAAAAACTTACCCACTAGTGTTCTGCATGCAATAATTACTTTATAAATTCCAACAAAAAGTAATCTTATCTAATATCCTAAAACATTCTCTTCATAAAATTTAAAATTTGAAATTTACATATTTACCAAAGATCTGAAAATGAGTTTATATCATATCAGAAAAAAATATATTTTAAGATTATTTTTTATAATATCACTTGTGGAATATTTTTCATAATTTGCTATTTTAGGTAACAATGAACAATTTGTGAATACGTAACTTAACACCATGAACAAGTTACCCCTAACATTGCTGTATTTAGCACTGCTGATAATAAGTTGGCCTTTTTGCTCCAAATCAAGCAGTGCAGTCTCCGTTAATATAACCCTGCAAGCTGTTTATTTAATTGTAAACCGCACCATAAGCCAGCATAAATGTAAATTACCTTGTAAATTAAATGATGCTGGAAAACATTTGGCGTCTGAAAGTTATGAGATATAACAGTTCTCTTACTGTCTAAGCACATACTAGAACACTCCTGTATAAATATCACATCAAAAGCCCGAGTTGTCACAGTATTAGAGGATGTGTGCAATAATGTCCAGAAGATGATAAGGTCAAATGAGTAAACCCAGTTTGTGCAATTGCTTTGGTTTGGTTTGTTTCATGCAGGCAAAATGTTCACTTAAAGCAGCGTGAAGAAAAGTGGTAGGACATATCAGGAACACTGGGAGAGACGGAGACATTGTAAAAGACGAAAGAAAAGTTTCATACAAATTTTTTTGTTTTTGTTTTTAAACAATTAAGTATTGTCTCCATTCAAAATGGAAAACTTCAGCACATACTATAAATGTTTCATCAAAAACCAACTATAACTTTAAGCCTTTCTCTTTCTGAGTGGTATACTTAACTGATATAATTGTACCAATACATTTTGAAAGACATGTAAAAGACCTGCTCGCTGAAAATGAAAAGGGCCTAAACATCATTGAGGTTCACAGGTCCAACATTGGAAAATTAGGATAAATGGGCAGTAAGATATGGGCAGACATAATCAAAATGTTCATAAAACTAATACTGACGGTCAATGAATAGTGACAAAGAGGACAAAGCTTTGAGGAATCCACACATGTATTTAGACAGAGTGCTTTGGAAAATGGTACAAAATAAAAAAGTTGACCCAAAGGGCCAGGAGCTCCCATCAAGTGACATCATATTTTTGAGTGTAAGAAGGTTAGTTTTCTAAAAGGCAATCCTTTCTAATTAGGAGAGATGTTTGCATCCCAAATGAGGATGATTCTAGCTTACATCATATTTAAAGTTGTATTCCTCCCCCCCCCCCCCCACCCAAGTTTACAGGAGGACCCTTTTTGCCTTAGAAAAGAAGGTCATGGCGACCCACTTGGAAACTCATCCAAGGGTCTTCCAATTTCCTAATGCAAAGTCTTAGCTTTTTTCAGGTAAATAAGGGTTTGAAACTCTTTAATGGACAGACAGACAGCTCACAGCTCAGCTCACACTTTTTTCAAGTTGACAAGTTTTTAACACCCATCAATGGACAGACGGACGGATAGATAATTTCAAAGCTTCTGCACTACAGTGTCAGGAGCTTAACTGAGAGAATAAAAACCATCAGGTTACAGAGCAAAATAGAAGTGAAAGCTGCTGGATGAAAGGTGCTGGGTCACACCAGTAAAACACCAAGGACTACCTCCTCCAGGCGGTTTATCACATAGGGCGAGTAACGTGCTCTCCGCAGTCCCGTGTCAGGCTTTAATGTTGAAAGAGTCAAACAAAATGTCAGGGAGAGAACGACTTGTTAGAGAAATATACAAACTAATTAGGCACAATATGCTAATTGCACTGGAGACAGATATATAGTGACTCATTTATATGTAAAAAGAAAATTATTTCAGAAAAGTAACAGATTCTGAAAAATAAAGAAAGTTTCATTTTGTCCTTTGACTTTAACATGCCTATTATTTATCATCTGGAGTCCACTTTCCTTTAACCCAACCATACACAGAAATATCCAATTAAATACAAAAAGGTAATAAGTCAAAACACACTGACAAAATAATATCAAATACAGAGCTATCTACTCTACATTTATCAACTTGTCATACTAAAATATCTTTATGATATCGCCCCAAACAGATTAAACCTTACCGCAACTTCACTTCTCCTGTCTGCAGCTGTGACGGTCTGTAACACCACTGGCAACATGCCGGTCACTACGTGTTCTATGTCCGCATGAGACGTCTTGGACTGTGTCAACAATAGAGTAAATAAAATGATTTATAGATCTTGTAGAGATCCTTTATGACAACTGCATCTCATGACTAACATATTGCAAGATTTAAAATAAGTAAACATCAACTGAAGTTTTAATATGGTATAAAAAGTTCTTTATCTTGATATGATAAAAAACATGAAACATTTTTAAAAATTACATATTCTGATTTAATTTTATAATTGTTTTTTCCAGTTGGGTTATAAATCAGACATCAATATCAATATCTCCACAAATTATTTTAAAAAATATCAAATTTGGAATATTCTTAAAGATTCATTTAAGTTCAAATGACTTTGGACACTCATGTTTCTGCTCCTACTTGTACCTGTACATTTGCATAGAGGGCGTCGAGAATGTCCCCCAAGATGGCGGTGGACTCCTTGAGCTCTTGTTTTTCAATCATGTAGTACTTCAGCTGACCAAGGCACATTGGCATCAAGGTGTGTCTGGACTCTAACATGTGATAAAATAAATGAAATACACTTCTTATACCGTTTTATTTTAAAAGTATCAAGTATCAATTTCAAGTATCAAGAAAATTGTTGAGATTTTTTGGTGAATATACAACATAATTATGACAACCAGGGATTGCTACACAAACTGTACAGTGATGAAAAAACTAAAAAAAATCTAACTAAAGAAATAGATGTCACCTTATCAAGACAAGCCATTTTGCCTACCTGGATCAAAAGAGAACTGACCTTACAAGTATAGATGTCACTTCATCAAGACAAGCCTGATTTACCAACCTGGATCTTGAAAGAGAACTGAGCCAACAGTGTCTCGCAGACACAAGAGTTTGACGTGCGCCAGCTGGTAGTGGACATCGCGGGGTATCCTGGCTATCAGAGTACAGATCATGCTGCTAAGCTCCATTTTGGAAACTACACGCAAAAGTTCATTGTAGATGCCACTGAACGATCGCAGCAAAACACACTAGAGATGAAACATGAAAATAAATAAGTAATTTAAGAGAATGATACTTTTCATTCCAAGAAACACCATTTTGTAAAAGCTACTATAAGATGTATATAAGGCTCCACTCCCACAGACATAATGGCTCTAGGAAGATCAATTCAACTCTGCAATGACTCTAACTGACTGCAATCAGTTTAACAGGGCTCCGTATCTCGAAAGGTTTGCTATGTTGCGCACGTGCGTAAGCGTCTCGATTCCATAACTCGCCCATACTTGTCCCATGTAATACATTGTAGCCTCTATTTGATATAGCGATTCGCAATACACGATGCTTTCGAGATACGGGGCCCAGGTTAACAAGCCTCATCCTGGTGATAAACAGAATACAGAAAAACTGGTGATTATACATGTACACTGGATGTCATTCAGTTAAGCTGATTATATTCAGCAAGAGTCACAGCAGAGTTAGACTTATCTACTTTAACCGCTGGTGTCTATGGGAATTGGGTCTAAGGTACTCATCAGTTCTAGATTGTCAAAGATTTTAAAGTCTTTTGTCAAACAATTCTTTCCAAATGGTTGGAATAATGTGGAAACGCGTCAGTCAAACCAGACACATTTCTGTAAAAGGCTGCCAAAGTTAAATGTGTATCACCTGGGTATGAATTGTGGCCTCCTTGTTATAATGTAGAGCTGTCCCCATAGACTTCATCACAGCGGTAAGTAAAGATTTAAATTCCTCTTCAGCTGCAGGGCCACCTGAATGCCTAAAAAGACATAAAAATACTTAAATATGATTTGAAATAACAGTATCTTTAAGGGAATTACCAACACAAAGAATACATATTTCAATATGATTTATATGATTTATATGATTTATAACAAAAGAATTTAGATCAAATTATGAGTATTAATATAGTCAATCATGGAATTTTCAAATTTCTTTCACAAAAAGACAACTCTACCACTAACCTGGTGAATAGTATTTTTGACTGCACAATGAATTTGAAGATGTATTCCAGGACCTGAAATTACAGATTAGAAAACACTAGTAAATATACTTATTACTGATATATATATATATATCATCTTATTAGTGCTAGACTGAACTATTGCTTTGCTTTGGATCTGATGGACATCCTGAAAGGTCTTCTAAAAAAATTTGAAAATATCAATAGGATTACCTTGAAAACATTCTGCAGGTTTTTCTGTTTGTCAACCACAGTGGCTGTGATGGCGTCAATCCTTCCCTGCAGACAGCGCAAGAGATCCCTGGAAGTGGGGGCAACAGATTCAAAACTTAACCTCAAAACTCAAAATTTTCATTTTATAGTCATTATTTTTGATACATTTTATAACTTGAACTAAAAAACTTGAATTCAAAGATCCAAAAGAATGAATATGAAATGAAAATTGATCCTTGAACTAAGTAAATCTAAAAAAAAATCAAACATTCTTAACTTAGCAAGCAAAATTTGTCAATGTGCATGCCAGATTTGTACTGATAGTAAGCAGGGACGTAAACATACTAGTCTAATATTTACACTACAAAAATAACCAGCCATTAAACCTAGTAGCTGTCCAATGTCTAAATTCTACTTATACAAGCCAACTGTACAAATTCACACCACCTAAATCTTATAATAAACCAGGACCACCTACTTGTAAACCAGTGGAGCAGAGAAATGGTCTGTGATGTAAGTGTCGATGACAATTTTAAAATGTTCATATTTGGTTGTCTCCAGCATGTTGAATATCTTGACCTAAAAAGTGTGAAAACGGTCTACAAATCAACTTTGTCCAATTTTGGGCTCTATGTTGAATATACTGACTTGTGAAAGTGTAAAATGAAAGTTAAGACATCAACACAGCTTCATACTAAATGACCATCTAAATATGATTAAAACCAGACCCAGCAGACAAATGACATTGATTCACCGTTGAATCAACGTTAATTTTGGTGGATCAACGTTGAATCAATGTAGAATCAATGTCGTTTGCCTGCTGGGAGAGTTTTGTGTGATTTCAAAAAGTATCACCACTCAATTTTGTTTGTAAAAGACAATATTGTACTGAAAATTTCCAGCTTACTCACCAGTGCTTTAAAAACCACCTGCAGCTCAGGCTGGTTCTCACTCATCTCTGACAACATGGAAAATAATGCATCTAGAATATCTTGGAGGAACTGGAAAAGAAATGATATGTAACCAGATATGGTTAAAATGAAAATATTAACAGTTTATTCATAATATGTGACACAAATGTCTGTGTCAAAAAATGTACTAAAACTAATGAACCAGCAGCAAATATAAGGTCTCGAAGAACTGATGACCCGTGAAGTTAGTCACCCATCAGAGGCAAGCAAATCTGGTGTTGTACAAGGAAAAAAGAATTTCAAGGTCACTATTTAGATCACCTTGGATCTAATTTTTTATCTATAGACTACTGACAAGTAAATCATGACTCTGAAGTTTGTAGTCTCAGTGGTCAGCAGCTGAAGAGTTTTAGGTACAGACAGTGAATTTAAATGATGTTGGTTAAAATAAAATAAACCCTAAAATAGCTATCTGTCTTGAGTATGGCCAAATAAAATGGATCAGAGTCAGGCGGAAAAATTTCTCTTATTGTACATGCCCACCTTTACAATCTCCTCCCCATCTATGCGTAACAGCTTTTGTAAGTTCTGCAGCAGGTTTTCCTTGGGGTCCCTCCACTTCAGAATTCCCAGGATATCAACTGGAATAGAAAGGAGGAAAGGCTGTTATATTGAACGATGACGGTGTCCTCAAAATTTAAAGCCCCAGTGCAGTTGGACTATGCTGAATGTGTTATTCCACAGGTCTAACTGTTGTAATATGTCACTTTATTTTCCTGCAGTCCGTGGCAATTTCGAATACATGCAGCAGGGGCGGATCCAGAGACATTTTCTGACAGTCTTCCAAATTATCTTTGTTGATCCATCCACCATTTTTGACCGTCTTCCAACAGAAAAAATTAGATACCCCTCAATGTAAACTTAAAAATCTGACCGTCTTCCGGAAGACCCAGAAGACTGCCTAAGTCCGCCCCTGTGCAGGCCTACAGATAAATTTCATTTATCTTAAACACATCTAGATAAATGTTCACAATTTCTGGATAGAGGGCCCCTTTGGCAACCAGATGTTTGAAACCAAGTAAAGAAACATTTGCCTTGGCATCTGCCAATCCCCTGCCTCGGAGATCAGGATGGCAATATTGCAGTTCTGACATAGTTCTTACCATTTTGCGTATGTTTAGTTGAGCAAAGCGTGGTGTAGATAGTGGCGTCCTCTGTGTCTTTGGTGAAATATTTATTGCTGTTTGTGTGAGTGACATCTTCAGTGGTTGACGGGAGGCTGAGATAGTGGGACACGTTCTTTAACTTCACGTAGTCCTCACACTGAAATAAGAAAATGATAGAGAAGTCAGNACCCAATCATGCCGATTTTCGAACTTGACCTGCGTATTATGAATATTTATCAGTTCTGTAAGTTTCAAGCCAAAAAGTAAAATGGTTTTCCACTTATCATGTTATCAGTGCTGCATTTATGCTGAAAAAAGAGAAAAAATAGCCTAAATTCATTAAAAATGACCCAATCACGCTGATTTTCGAACTTGACCTGCGTATTATGAATATTCATCAGTTCTGTAAGTTTCAAGCCAAAAAGTAAAACAGTTTTCCACTTATCGTGTTATCGGTGCTTCATTTATGCTGAAAAAAGTGAAAAAACAGCATAAATTCCCTATAAGTGACCCGATCATGCTGATTTTCGAACTTGACCTGCGTATTATGAATATTCATTAGTTCTGTAAGTTTCAAGCCAAAAGAAAAAACAGTTTTCCACTTATCGTGTTATCGGTAAAAGTGCACGGCGACGGCGACGGCGACGGCGACGGCGACAGCGACGGCGACGACGGCGACGACGGCGACGACAGACGCAGATGATGGCTATATGTACAGACACATCTGTGTCTGTACATAAAAATTGTATTAGATTATGAAAAGTAGTCATTTGGAAAGATTCCCTAGATAAACTCAAAAGAACTTTACTGGACAAACTGTTTGGAATTAAAATTAATTTCAACACATTTAAGTTAAAAACATGACTCTTGCCATTATTTATTATGTACAATTAATAGCCATTTTCGCAAACTTGTGATTTTTTTCTGCAAAAAGACCAATAAGGAGGGATATGCTATCACAAAAAGTCATCAAAAATAAAATAAACATTGAGAGAGAAATGGCATTCAAAATAAAATAAATATAATCAATAAGTGGTAGAACATTCTTAACATGCAGTAAATCTATAACAATAACATTGACATCTCTATCATGAATATATTGCAATAAAATTACATAGCTACATAAAACCTTACTATATGTTACAATGTAGCAAGCAGCAACAAATAAAATGCTGGTCAAGATGACCTTTGGTCAGTACCTACCTTGACTATCTCATTCCATACCGTCTTGTTGTGATGGTACATGACAAATGACTTGTATTCGTCACCATTCAGTTCACCTGACCCTGCACTTAGACACTCCTGGAAAATGGAGGCAGGTTTACAATTGAGTCATGAAGATGAAAATAAAGATGTTTTTAAACACGAATGAAATAGTTTAAGACTTAATGTCAATTTTTTGTTAAAATTTATTACAGAATAGTAGAATTCTTGCAAAGAGAATAATCTTACATAATCTAAATCTAAAAAAAAAAACATGAATGAGTGTCAGGGTGACAGTGGTGCCATCTATCCAAATGAAGAGGTCAGTTCAAAGATTGGATTCAGCGTGATTATTAGCAGTTTATTCAACGTCTCATAATAATTTCTATATTAATCCAACAGAGATACAACTTATATGCTAAATTTTACAAAAAAAAAAAAAAAAAAAAAATTAAAAATGGCTAACAAAAACAAATCATATATTATATATGTTCAAATACACACAGAATCCCCACCTTCATCTCATTTCCTTTGTCATCTAAAACAACCACCCTCGCTTCCACATTTTTCTGCGCCGTCTTCTTTCCCTTCTCAAAGTCGCCTCTGTGGATACTGAAGTAGAAGTCGTTCCGCACCTCACCTGAAGAGCAGGACAGCACAGAATATTTATCAGCTTTCAATAGGGTAATCACTGTGAATAAGTTGAATAAAAAGTATTTTCCAATTGTTTCCAAAACTATACTTTGCCCTCTTGATAAAAAGGAGTTTCACTTCATCATCTGAAAAAGTACATCGCAGTTGTAAACAAATGTCTAATTTTCAATAAATAAGAATGGCCTTGATAAATAGATGGCCTTGACCCCACGACCTTCACCAGTCATAATAACATGCTGACCTTACATGACCTTGACCGCCCCAATGACCTTACCAGGCATGATGACATCAGAGAAGCCAATCTTCCTGGTGATTGCGATACTCTTCCCAACCAGCAATGGATGCCGGTGCCGTACTTCATCCAAAGTGCCATGAAACTTGCGTAATGACACAGTTAATGCTGGAATTGGAAAGTTGAATGATTTTCTTCTTGCTTCAAAATCAAAACCTAACAGTACTTCACATTACAAAAGCTTACCAGATAATTGAACATCATTAAAAGGACAGCTACATATAAATGTTAAAGAGATAACAGAGAACAAATTATTGTTTTATAGTTGGAACATTTCTTACATTTTGTACAGACAAAGCAGTTGTTTTAACAAATGAAAAATTTTACAACTTAAAAATTTATTTCATTGTCTTAGTACAACTTAAAAATCCACCGAATTATCTTAGAACAACTTAAAAATCCACTGAATTATTTGAGTACAACTTAAAAATCCACTGAATTATCTTAGAAGCACTTACAAGTGTTCACATAGCCTGGGTTTGTCTTGTGTTTTCTAATCATGTCCTCATGCATCATGGGGAAGTCCTTGTCACCAGGGGTGTCTGTACATCTGGAGGGAAAGCACAAACTAGACAGCAAAACCCACAAATGTACAGAGAGAGTACAGAATACTTTAAAACTGGGGTATCCTTGTGGCTGGGAGTATAAGATGATGAGAAGAGGATTAGAAGTTTGAGATGCTACAGCTGTATTCAAAGGATCACAAACTTAAAGTTATCTTACCAAATACACAACTTAGACTGTTTTATATTATTATTAGTAGAAGTATTAGTATTATTATATCAGAAAACAAGTATCATTGTGTTACCTAAAATGCAGCACATGGACGTTTATCTGTTAAGTTTGCTTATACACTTTAAAATTACATTTTTTTCTGATTTGTTTGATCTACTTTTTGTGTTAAATTTACCATAGCAATCAACATCAATTTCCTTGTTCTATAGCAAGTATATTTCTAGAATGGTATGTCATGTTGTTTGTCTGCACTATAACTCTGACCCTGTGTTCTAACTTACGTCTGCACCCTGGTGCTGTACTCTCTCTCATTCTCGTCAGACATGTCTGCTGTCATCATCTCGCGTAAGTGGAGCACTGAAATAAACACAGCATCAGTTTTCAGTGAAGATTTTAAGTTCTTATCAGAAATGGTTAGCATTTAAATATTTTACAAAAAGAGAAGGATCAGTCTCAAAACTGACAATTGAGAAACTTGTCATTATCGTAATGTGAGGGCATAGCACTTTGGTGATTTGCCAACTTTCGTTGCATGATAAGTTTTGTATAAAAATACTTGAAAATAAAGATGTTTTTAAAAACTTGAGAAACCTATTTCTCCTTTGCCAATTTAAAGATACATCTGCATGCCAGTGTGCTCTACACCCTTCACTCCATTATATAAACCAGCTGGACAAAGATTCGGAGCTTCATTACTTTACTTTTATAATTTTAACTTTCCTTCACGTCCAGCTTACAACTGAGCAAAGCTGCTTATTAAAGTTTTTGGAAACAGACACAAAGTTAGATGACCTACCAGCCACACCATACGGCCGCCTGAACTGGTGCTGCTGGCTCTTCTTGGACGACTCACTCAGTAATATTCGACCTGTGATAAAAGTGATAATATCAGTGATAAACGTGATAATAGCAGTGCTAAAATTAGTCTTTAGATCGATTCAGTACTGAACACCATCTTCTGTCATACTCAACACTGATAATGTATGTTTGTTTTTTTACTTTCTTACTTTTTTTTTACTTTCTTTTATAGACTATGCTATACCATGATTTAATGTCACCAGTGTCATAGTATTAGTCTATTGACAGACAATACTGCAGTAAGTCAGAAAAAATTAAAATAGTACATATATTTCAGTGCTAAATTTGTCTGTCTAATTGCCATACCTCTTCTGAAGATCTGGACCACCAGCCACAAATCTTTCACCAGGTCTTCATTGCCCAAGTCCTGGAATTATAAACAACAATTTGTTGCACCAGTCAAAGTAAACCATGTCTGCAAATGCATTTCAATAACTACTGACTGAGATCATTTATATATTGGTTTAGGTTATTTATATACTGGTATTAGTCAGAACTATTGGTATCATTTACCGAGAAAGAGATACATATACCAATAGATGAGAATGCAAATGGAACTTAATCTAGAAAGCAAACCAACATATCATATTAAATTTACTGCAGATGTGTAAAATACTTGATTGTTTGTGTTGTGTTCCAGACTTACTGTAAAGAGGGCACAGTTGTTCTGTATCCTGTCTTGGTTCAGTGGTAATCCATTCTTTGTCAGTCTGGACAGAAACCTCTCACTGAAACAATAATAATAATTAAAATAAATTCTTTAAAAACATATATGGAAAATATCTGAAATTAAGTGTAGCAAGATTTTCCTTCATAAAAACAAACTGGGCTTAATAGTGTCATCACTGACCTAAATGCAACATTTGATCTTGCTGCCAAAATCACTTCTGTTTATTTATTTCACAGTTTTCAAAAAATATTTCCAAATAGCTCATTATTTCAGAGAAATATATAGTCATGAAAAAGGTCTCAATGCAGAAAAAAAACAACCAAAAAGTTTGGAATGAGAATAATCTAGCACCTAAGCACTGAAATGTCAGTTGGCACTCTATGTAATTACCTGATGAATCTTTCTTCTTTGGTATCGTAGAGAGAGAAATAGACCTCTGTGTCTTCACCTACATTGCAGGCTAGAGTGCGGAAGTTTAGGTACAGGTGATATGTCAGGATTTTCTTGGACAGTGTGCGACGTATGGAGCCACGTGCCTGGTAGAGAGAGCAAAATAAGCTGAATTAATTCATAGCAATCAAAGGTAATATTAGATGAAGTTATTTATCAGTGATACACATTCATGTCATAGAGAATGTTTTGTTTCTAAGAATCATGGACCTATAGGACCTGATAGTGTGTATATGTGTTTGAAAGCATTCTTCCAAATTTAAGATAATATTCTACTCTGAGAGAGAGAGAGAGAGAGAGAGAGAGAGAGAGAGAGAGAGAGAGAGAGAGAGAGAGAGAGAGAGAGAGAGAGAAGTACTTACAGAAGCACTATGAGAAGCCTCAGCACTCTGTACATGCAGCCTGAACAGTTCGACCACACTAATGTTCTCTGTGTCCACCTGTTCACTGTTCACCCTGGGGACCAGGTCCAGGCCAAGACGACTGGAAACAAGATCAAATTACATACATAAGTATTCTGTACTTAAAAACTAAAAGCAAAAGTCAAACCCAACAACCAAGTTAAACCTAGGAACTGACACATTAAATTTCTATTTTGCTAAAACAGTTAAAAGATTCACTTAAAAGTAAAAACCCCAGACAAGATTGTCTCACCCATTCCCCCAGTCTATCTTGGCTGTGATCTTCTGTTTCAGTTCTCTAGCCTGGTCCTGTGTCAGTGAGTCCGACATCAACTGCCGCCTCCAGTCCATCAGGTCCAACATCACCTTCTTGAATGTGTCGAACACCTGTTTCTTCCTCTCCTGTAGGGGTACAGAGAAATATGATGTCATGATGCAGAGATGAGAGTAGATCCATTTTAAATCAGAGAATAATTTCATCAGCTTTGTTAGAATAGAGTAATTTTTTTGGCATTTCTCCTGGATAGAGGTTATTCACTTGGATAGCCTCATAACCTGATAAGGACGCTCTGAGACACACTGAAATATTGGAGGCAATAATTAGCTGTCAATGCAAGCTGTTGATTGAAAACCCTTTTAAAAATTTACTAAAAATGCA